TTTTTTTTTTTTTTTTAAGAAAAGCAGATGCTCTCTTACGCACAAGAAAAAAAGATTATTTTTTTCTCAACTTTTCTGATGATGGGGTTGCATTTTGCCCTCGCACACCCAGCAGAGGTGTCGAGCTGACTCTGGCTTGATCCGGAGAATCGCCCCTCCTCCTGGGCACAGGCGCTGGGGACCGCCTGGGGAGGGATGGCTGGGGGACAGAAGTGGGGGACAAGACAGGACCGGCTCACAGGGCAAGTCTGGCACACCGTGGCACTCGGGGGCTTGGCCACAGTCAACCCACACAAGGTGCAAAACCCCTTTCCCCAGGTGCCAGGGCTCCAACCTCAGCCCGCAGCGTGGGATGCACAGTGGGGTGTAGGGAGGACAGGGGGTGGTGTGTGTGTGTGGTGGGGGGTACCTGCCCACTTCCCCACCAGGGAGGAGGTGCCCACAGGGACCCCGCTCGGCTACAGCTGGGGAAGGGCGACAAAAGCAACTGACTCCTCGGGACAAGTCTGGATGAGGAACATGAATTTGTGCCAGTGAAGGCAACTCCAGGCAGCAGCTGAGAGAGCTGCCCTGCATGGTGGGCAGGGGTGATGGGTGCTGGGGGGAGCAGGGGGACACAGGTGATGAGCAGGAGCAAAGGACTCAGAGGATCAGCCGTGGCTCAGACTGTGCTGCGGGTGTGCAACCCCCCCAGTTACTTGTCTTCTCCATCTGCAAAGAAGAAGAATCAAAAATTGCCCAGCCACCTCCTCCCTGGGGGCCTGGGGCAAGCTGGGAGCCCCCGGGGGACTTTCCACGATGGGGCACAGGGAGAGAGGGAAGTGATCAGCGGAGAAGAGACTCCTGATCCCACTCACCTCTCTGCTCCTCTGAGTCGCTCTCCACCTCTTCCGAGGAACCTGCTGGGGGGTTGCAAGAAAACCCTGCATCATCTTACACCGATAACCATATTAGCTGTGGTCCCACTCCCCTCCCAGTGCTGTCACCCCACCGCTATACTGGTGGTTGTGCGCTAAGGGTCCCCTGCAAACCCACACAGCCCAGGGCACAGCACAACCTGCACATGGACACCCCAAAACCCATCCTTCATCTGCTCAGGGCTCTTGCTGCCTTAACCACGGCGTGGCTGGGACGTTCTCCCCCAGCCCTGGGCACCAAGATGGCATCATCTTGGCACACACAGGCTGCAAACCCACCCGTGTCGGGCGACTGGTATCCATCACAGCCAATCTTCGGTCTCTTCTCGCTGTAGCGGGCGCAGAGGCTGGCGCTGCCCGCCTGGTTACAGCACCAGTCGTACAACTTCAGCTCCTGGTCTAGAGGGAAAAAAGAAGAGTAAGGGGCTGAAGGGGAGAGGAGAGAGAGACAGGCTGGCTCCGGGCAGGCAGAGCGCTCGCCTCAGCTTTTAGCAGGTCCACACTCCCTCCGAGGGCAACAACATGTCAGGAAACAGGTTGGCACAGAGATTAAAGTGATTTACAGGCTACAGCCATGCCAGCCTCAGCCAGGGGATGCCAGGGCTGGCTGTGCTTACCTCGGTAGGGGGACGCCTGCCTGGAGGACCTCCAGTACCTCTCCTGCCGCCCCTCGATGAGCTGGTCCTGCCTGTCGTACAGGCAGCGGACGCCAGCACCGTGCTGGTTGGGGGAGGCGGAGTGCAGCATGGAGACACTGGAAGCCCACCGGCCTGCAACAGGGTGGCAGTGAGTCTCGGCGCAGTTCTCCCCAACCTGCATCCCTGCCCTGATGGAGCTCTCCCCAACCTGCATCCCTGCCCCGGCGCAGCTCTCCCTGGGCCAACATGCCTGCCTCAGGGCAAGAAGTGGGGCTGGGGCTGGCTCTTTGTTATCCATCACTCCCACCGCATCACTCACAGTGCTATGGAGATCTGGAGGGACCATCCAAGTGGTCCCGCAGGGTGAGACTCTGGTGCTAGGGAGGGTCTATCACTGCCGTCCCCGTACAGCTTAGAGCTGCTCTGGCCACTCGAACAAGACAGAGACAGGTCAGCCCTCGTTCCTCCTCATTTTCCCTGTCTCTGCAGGGCAGGGCACCCCCTCTCCACCATTTTTCTTGGGGTCACCTGCCTGGCCAGAAGGGACCCAGCCACTCTTGCAGGGGAGGTGGGGAGGGACAGCTTGGGGACAGGGAGCGTGGGGAAGCAGCATGTCCACTTGCCTCTGCGGCTGCTCTTGAAGCGCGGGTCCTGCTGCCCTTGCTGCAGGGAGCAGGGGCAGGTGGGCAGGCCCTGGCTCCATGCCCGCGGACTCTGCTGCTGCCCCGTCCACGCCAGGCACTTCAGGCGGTAGTTGATGCCCACGCGGCTCTCCAGCTTGTAAATCCACATCCCGCGGAGGTCTGAGCAGGGAGAGAATCCGTGAGCTGTCACCTCTGCCCGAGGGGCCTGCAGGGGCTGTTACGGCTGGAGGCAAGAGCCGTGTGATGCTGGTGCTGGAAGCTAAGCCCACATTGACCCCCAGCTGTGGGACCACATGCTAAACAGCCACCCAACTGCAGGCAAACACGGGGAGAGGCTCTTGCCAAAGAAGAAAGCCTTGGGACAGAGCCATTGCAACAAAAAGGGTCCATGAACACATCAAGGATGTTTCAGCCTCAGGGCATAGCTGGTACCCAGGGGAAGCATTTGATGTGCTTGGGAGGAAAGCCTGGCCTCCCTGAACTCAGAGAGACCCTTGCCACAGCAGCAGGCTGGATTTCATCCCCTAGGACCATCCCCCTCCCCGCACAGCCCTTCCCTGACCCTGCTGAGGGGCTGCATGAACCCACCCCAGTTGTGTGACACTACCTGTGTTGTAGCCCCTGAACTGGTCAGGGCGATATTTAGCGGCTGGAGGTCTCTGAGTCAGGTCATCGTTGCGGTAAAAGCCATCCCCACTGCGTGCAGAGGATAGGGGGAAAAAATCAGGGGTTGCTCTTCCCATGTGGGGTCATCCCAGCCCCAGCCCCAGCCTGCCCTTCAGCTGCCCTGATCCTGAGTCGGTGGGATCCCACAGCACCCAAATCGCAGCTCTGGGGACAGGAGGGCAAAAGCACCAGCTCCCCCAGCCTGCTGCCTCTTCTCTACAGGGTGCAGTTAGTTTTGGGTGCTACAAACGCTCTTGCTGCATCATAGGTTGAACCCACGGACATCTCAAGACCTCTTTGAGCAGCTTCTATGGTTTCCAGCATTTTGCAGGGGGATACGGAGTGGAAACCCCCGAGCAGTCGTGCACAGGCAAGCACACACACATGCCTGTGCCGCCCGCGCTTCCCGTCCCAGCCACCTTTTCCTTACCCAGCTGCAGCAAGCAGCTAATGAGCAAACCCTGGAGACAACGCGTGCACAGGACGAGATGTAATGTGAGGAGGCAGGAAGCGACCGCTCCGGCCAAGCAGCGGAAATCCCTTCCCTCGACTGGTGCAAAGTTCAGCAAACATCCCCTATTCCCCACTCCTTCCACCCAAACCACCAGGATGCTGTGGCCCCGGGGACCCCAGAGGGTTGAGTGGATCTTACAACAAGCACAGCTTGGCAAGTCAGCGTGCTGCAGCGTGATTCAGCCACTAACAGGGCAAATTTGGTTGTGAGACCCCCGTATGTTAGGCTACATGAGCAGGCAGAGCCCATCTGGGCTGTCCTCATCCTTGCAGAGCAC